ATATATATATATATATATATATATATATATATATATATATATATATACATATTTCCAACCATTTTATAAATGTATCTGAAACATGAAGGTTGACGTGTCTAATGTGTCTGTACTCCAGCAGTTTTACAGTACTATATGGTAAAACTATCATTATCCCAGGGTAAATAATTACCATGATTATCTACTTTTATATAATGTTAATTTAATTTTAGCTTTTGAGAGGAATAAATTAGTTCATATGGAAAAAAGCTTGGATTAAAACTGAGCAAAACTTTATATTTGAAGTGATAGTTCTGATCTTTTGCACTGGGGTTCAGTGGAAGTGTTTCAAGCAGTTAACATCTTACCTGTTGGAGATAGTTTTTTTTTGTTTTTTTTAGAAATACATATTTAATTCTGACCAGATTCACAAATTGACACCTAGTCCAAGGCTAGTCAAGCCTAGAGTGGATTGCTGCCATTTTAAAATAACTCCCGTCTCAAAAACAATACGACTGATCATGCAAATACCATTTTATATCATTTTACTTTGCATTACCCCATTATTCTAGCAGTAATGTTATAATATACAATGCTAGAAGTGCTACTGCTTGCTGCTGCTGTGTTTTGTGCTTGATAATAACTACCGTACATACTTTGATGTTAATTACCAAGAATGCAAATTGGCAGTGGAGTAATGATTTAGAAAACAGTGTTGATATAAACTGTTACATATATTTTAAAACTGGTTTTAGTTGACAGCAGACCACGTTGGATGTAAACCAACTGTTAGCTCATCAGTCCGGTCAGAATTGTTTCTCCAAACTGAGGTTGTTCAAGGAGCTACAACAGGTAAGATATTTATTGTTCATAAACTTCCAACAGAAATCCACTTCAAAAATTTTGAACGAGGGCTTGAAGTAAATTAACTCGCCGAGTATGTCAATTTGCATTCCAGCGCAGATCATATGCACGTCAGATGATTTAAGAAAGCAGCAGAAATTCAGGCTGACTGTGGGGGTGGCATGGAGGGGTCAATGCTTTCCCTCACAAAAAATGGATGGAATTTCTGTTATGGCTTTTGGTTCGCCACCTCAGGAGTATTGATGGACCTCATCTGACCCCACCGTTGAGTTTTCTGGAGGTGCCCTGGGTTCAACAGGACTTCCTCTTCTGAAACAACACTGGCAGAAAACACGTCTTCGTTGAATGAACTATCACATCCTGGCTGTCTTCCAGGACAGGAAGTTTTCTCGGTTTGAGTGATGCATACATGCCTTTCTTGGCAGATAGATGACTGAAACATACCACTGCTCCACAGCACCAACCCACCCCGCAGGCTCAAACTCTTCAGAGTAGACGCTCAGAAAACGTGGTTTATAGCCAGTGAAGATAGATGGTGATTACTGGTGCTTAACTGGAAGACTTAATTAAGCATGTGAACAATATGCAAAGACTTACAGGGAACATGTTTCCAACACCCCTTTATTTTCTTTTAAGGAGTAAAACATAAGAAGTCAGAGAAGATCAGCTTTAAAAGGGTTAATCTGAAGAGGCTCTGCCTTCGATACTTTTATGCTTCACAATAAGAGGCTTACAGAGCGATCAAGTCAATAATACACAACCTTTCAAATCAGGAACTTAATCTAAAGGCAAGAGGAATTAAATCTAATAAACATTGTCATATTTATTAAAGCTTAATGCACAGTATATACGTCTTAATTTGTGTGTATTGATATTGCAGTGGCTATTTTATTTTTAAGTCATAAAGGGACCGCTGAGAGGAAATGTGCACATTTTGTCCAAACTGAGCATTTTTTTCCACTTTAATTTTGAAAAGATGAAAATCCACGACAAACATGATATGTAATATTTAATTATTTTAACAGGTTTTTGTCCTTTTGTTGATAATAAGCAGCTGCTTGAAGCCAGCCTGTCATCAGATCCCTCCAACTTTTCTTGGCTTTATTAAATCTTCCTAAAAAGACTTTGCGTGGGCATTTTCTTATTTACAAAGCAGACATTAAAATGTTTATATAAAGACCTTCTGACGCGAGAAACTCATTTGCAGAGCCATCTTATAGGAATAAGCTCTACCAAAGCTCAGTTTTGAGTTATAAATGACCGTTTTAGCCACAAATATACACGTGAGGACATGAAGGTAACGTTTTTCATCCCTTGCGGAGAGAAAATGTGCATGGTATCCAACTGAAAACACAAAAAACTGTTTATTAGAGATCTTAGTGGAAGAAAACTGAGAATAAATGTGACAAGTAAATTCTGAGGCTGTGTTTTTGATAAATAGAACTCGTTCATGAATATGTATTTGCTCTTATATAACCTATGACTATTATGAGTTACATGCTGTTGAATAAATGTTCATAATGTGTAAAATGTAAGATAAATCGGAGAAGCTAAGAATTTCTAACAAATAAATAAATAAAAGGCTTTCAAAAACACACCATCTAAATTCTCAAGCTTTTTGTTCAGAGTTTGTTCACAGAAGTTGTTTTAGTGTCAAATCTCTAAAGTTTTAATCCCCTCGGTGTATTTGCGTACTGACAAAAGCTAAGAACTTCAGTCTAAAACCAAATAAGGCGTCTCTGAGCAGAGCTAATAAACACGGCGTTTCATAAGTAACATTACGTCTTGCATGGATCGGTTTTCACTTTGTTTTAAAAATTCCAACCTTCAGACTTAAAAAAAGCAACATTAATCAGAATTGCTCAATTTCAATAGGGCTGTTATAAAAGACTGGATATACATTTTGTTTTACACAACTAGCTGCAGCCATCATTTGGTGGGCAGACTTCCAGTCCAGAGCCTGTCTTTACTCCACACGCTTCATTTTAGCAAACATAAATATGACGTGACAGCCCGAGAGCATTTGTCTACATTCTTCTGCTCTCTTTAGTAACAAACCTTTTTATCTTTACAGCTTAAAAACAAGACAAAAAAATCAGCAGCAAATTCATATGAATCTTTATTGTATTTAGAAATTCACTCATCAAATCCTTTTTATTATTTTTTGTTCGTTTTACCATTTACAACATGGGGAGAATGAGGGACAAGCTAAATGTCATGCCTTTCCCAGCAGGCGTAATGCACTACAGGACGGGCAGGGAGGGGGTGTGGGAGATACATAAAGTGCCATTGTCAACAGTTTCTTTTTCTATTTTTTAATTAGAAAATAAAAAAGGATCAAACAAAAAGGTTGGAGGGTGGAGTAAGAGGACTCGAGAGTCCGTGGACGTGACAGCATGAGTGCACAGGAAGGAGACGGTGAGATGTTGATGAGCAGGAAGAGAGGAGGATGGG